GAGAACCATACTTGTATGAAGTTGTTAGGCCTGTAGAAATAGACACAGAACAGTGACGACATGCACGAAAGTTACCACACCATGCACCGTGCAAACAGAATAAGGCACATGGTGTCCGCGCTCCCCTCCGCGCGGGTGCACAACACATAGACCGCTATCATATCATAGATAAGATACACACACACTTGACGTGCATCCGGGATATATGTCTGTTTGCGGGTAATAGATGGCTTGAGGCGATGTACTAATATAAACCGAACAATCATGAATCCTTCAATGAGAGGTTGATATCGCGACATACTTGGGGATATGAAAAAGGGCATTCAAATAGTCGAGACTGATTGACAATATTTGAACAAGTCCAGCAGGAACACAAAATCAAAAAGAGGGCATAAACGGTTGGAGGGGAGAACTATGTTTTTTTTTTGTTTTTTTTTTTTTGGGGGGGGGGGGGGGCTCAACAATAAACAAAACACCAACAGAGTGTATGATAAGTCTAAACACAGAAGCATTCGTGACGATAACGCAACATAAGTCGGCTGAGCATTGTTAACAGCAACCTAACACATACATATATACATGAGAGGCACCCCCTCCCGCGGGGGGGGGGGGGGGGGGGGGGGCATACCTGGCAGTAAGCCAACAATATACATGGCCCTACAAGTCTGGATTCAGAATAAATACCAGAGGTACTTATTACAAAATGCTAGAAGCGCTATGTCAATATCCAAATACAGAAGCCGAAAACCTAATCTTAGCTGATACAAATCCATCCAAGAATGAAGGATGTGAAAACTCAATGCGCCCACACAAAAAAGAGAACACGTTGCGTATACTAAGAAGCCCAAATCCGGAGACCATACTTCATCTTGTTAAATATAAGGCAAAACCAACATAAACACATATAACTTATTTGAGATATGTTTGCAATCAAACTTGTTAGTGACACAAGCTTTTCAGTGATAAAGCGCAACCGTGTGTGCTTGACGTGCTATAGGTTCATCGAGGGTCTTGGTATGAAGAATGGTAACGAATAAATCATCCTTGGGGCACCAAAGATCCCTGGAAACCTCAGCAGACTTCAGGCACCTCTAACGCGTTATGTGAGGCTGGAAAAGTTGGAGATGCTACATAGAAAATGGATTTAGTATGGTTTGTCAACGCTGGTGATCGTATGATTTTAGAGCCTCCATATTACTAAGTTAGTCAACGATATGAGGGGCCGCATTGGAACCTTGGTGGAGGGGTAGGAGAAAAGCAGAGGTGACCCTGATCAAGTAAAGCACAAAGAAAGAGGACACGCCACGGTTCAGGGGTTGGCATCCAGCCGAACTTGTCATCTTAGACAAAAAGAACGCATAAGGACTTTGAGGAACGGACCGGTGGTGGGAGACTGCCCGAGCACCAGCAGTGATATCCTTAACAAACGTGAGGCAACCACAGGACCTTAAAGAGCATCCTGATGAACTCCATCCTGGCGAGGCTCCATCGAGAGAAACTTGCAAACCGCAAATGACATTAATTGCATTCCTGTACTAAAATACTGACAAGCTTGTACACGCATTGTAGCATCAAAACCTTAATCCGATTTCAAGTAAATCTTTTCGCCTGGCTCATCGAGCCTAGCCGACCTCCTTAAGAATGATTTTGTAGGTAGCGGAATCGATCGTCAAATTTTGAGTTTGAAAGTAACCTGTAAGAGACTAAGAAGGGCCTATCTCCAACCGGAACTCTAGTGAGCAAATCTTGTCATGGACTGTCGTGCCGACTCATACAAGTGTGATGGTGCCGCGAGGTAGGAGGTGGGGAGGAAGAGCAAGACCTTGCCTATTGATGGTTAGAGATTCGCTATGTTGCAGACGCAGCGAATTCTCGGTAACTGAGTAGCCAGTATTTGAGGATGTCAAAGCTGTTTAGAGAATGGAAATTATATGAAAAGAAGAAGTGATGTGCTTGTAACTCTACTTTCCATCTTTTTCTTTTATTTTGGAAAACATATATGTCGCCAATTTGGTATTGCTGTGTATATAGTAATATTTTTTTAAAATAAAAATAGCCTATATAAACTACGAGGAAAACAATTCTATAATTAAAATATTAAAAGTAGCTTTGAAAAGTAACTTGGCTTCAGCCTTCAATTCACGAGCGAGTCTGCAGAAGGAGACACGCACGCGAACTACTGAACCAGAGAAACGATGCTGACATACACATATCCATGGCCCATAAAGTCTGAATCAAAGTAAACAATAGAAATACTAGAAAATTGGCAGCATTATATGCAAAGTTGCTAGAGTCTCAACGCGCCAACATTCCAAAATGCAAGTTGGTAACTCTCAGACCAACTGCAGATGTTTCATAGGATTTTTAATCCCTAACCTCACTCTACCCCACAAACAGAACCCAAAGCCAACACAAAACCAACAAAAACCAAACCAAAATACCACTCGGCTACTTCCTAATATTTTCTGGTTTATAGGTGCCGAGAGTTTTTTTTGTAAATTGTGGACCAAGATATCCAAATGCATGTGAATCTAATCAATGATATTGCATATCGTTTAAAGGATATAAAAGAAGTGCAAAACGAATAAACTCACAGTAATTACGTCGCTCCATAGACCTCCATTTCAATACAAATTGCTGTTATTCTATCTTAAACTCATTAAGTCATATCTGTATGTCACGCTATATTGCTTACACATTTTCAAAACTAGCTGAGTGGAAACTTACTTCTTCGCTTGTCACATTCACCAGTTAATCTAAAACATGAGCAAACTCCATCTCTGAAATGGGTGAATCCGTTACATCTCACAAGTCTCTCATATTCAAACTTGGAGATGGAATTTGTGGGACAGTAGGCAATCCCCTCACACACCTTCAAGTTCTTGGTGCATTCCTGATGACTTTCCCGCCACTATTTATAAAGCCAAAGGGGCAGAGCAATTTTCTCACTGTACCCAACAAAATGCGCTCTTCTCCTCCTGGTCGAGATCATAGAGCACAAACTTTCGTGGTTATGGATACGTAACCACGGTCTCCTTCATCTCTGTACCCCGCACTATCAGGCATGACTGTTCAATTCCGTGGATTCACTTTCATCAAAGACACCAAAAGAGTGATAAACTTGTTTCTTCACTCGAGACTCAACGCATCCCAGACTTTCTGCACGATGACCTCTTACTCAAAGTTTCTTTATTCTGCTACTTCCTTCCCACATTTTAGCCGAGGCATATACTGTCTTGCTAGAAGAATGTAATTGCCAGCGTTCAAAGGGTTCAAGTTCAAAAGACGAGCACACGCTTTCTTCACGTTTGACTTCCCCATGAAATCCTACACGCTCCAAGGAGAGAACCCACACAGTGGGACCCGGTTCCACCCGCATTATTTACTACAATCTTCTCCGACGAGGGGCAGTTCATCTGAATTGGCCAGCACGGCCTAGGATATCCATCACATACGCCAGCATGGAGCTCTGGCACGGAGGTACTGGAGTACCCAACAGCCGTGGATGCATCTGATGCAACATATTCTCGTTATCCTTACCTGTACCAAATCCAGCATGACTGCAGGCCCCCAAAACACTCACGAAGGTAAGTAGACTTGGTGAAAACCCCCTTATCTATATCTTTCAAAACAAATGAAGTGCTTCGCCTACCGACAGCCATGAATACGCATATCCGCAGATCATCGGATGTCCATGACGGACGACATCCCTCTGACGATTTTATGGGTGTAAAACTTAGACGTCCTGTCTCTAAGTTTCGCGAAGGTGATTGAGATCAGTTGCTAGGTAAGAGCGAGCATG